ATCAAGAAATGATAAAGATCTCAGTCTAGAAGAATACTCACTCGGAAGACTTTTCCATATGGTTACAGTCTCCCCAAAATCCCCGCTGAAGCAAAAGCACAGACTTCAACACCACAAGTAACAAAAATGCTGAGATGAAAGAAAGTGATTGCTTGTGGACCGCAGGTGATGTTACCACTTCGCACCCTGTAGAATTCTCTCCCCTTTCTCCCATCCATTTCTCCTCTCTTCCCCCTCCCCCTCCCCACTCCTTCACCAACAATATATTTTCCTGTCAAAACATACTTGGTTACATGCAGTGCGACCAAAATTGCTGCTATTAGCTTAATTGAGACAGGGTGATTAGTCATCACCAACTGTAGCTTAATTCAGAGTGTATTCCACATGTCTGCGGAGGCCCGTGGTCACCTGGCAGCCCAGAGGATGCAAGACCAAGTCCCTGAGATGCAGGCGGAGATTTTCGCTGCTAACTGAGAGAACAAAAGTCTGTGCCGCCTAGTTGGCAGGGTCCCTTCGCAGGCTGATAATGAACTTCTTAGAAACTTGAGCTGGCAAAGGACCATGGTTAGAAACCTTCCCATATAGAAAATCTTCGTATTATATTATATTTGGATGTGTTGATGTAGCTCAATGTATGAATCTGCTGTCACCTCCCATAATCATCTGAGATGGATTTTTAAGATTATTTTACTTTTCTTCTAATTATAAAAGGAGTAGGGATAAATTAGGAGGTTGGGATTAACATCTACACACTACTATATATTGAATAGATAACCAACAAGGACCTACTGTATAGCACAGGGAACTATAATCAATACTTTGTAATAACCTATAAGGCAAAAGACTGAAAAAGATATATATGTATATGTATGTATAACAACCACTGTGCTGTATACCTGAAACTAACATGATATTATAAATCAGTTATACTTCAAATAAATAAATAAAAGTGAAACAATAAAATAAACTCAAACTGTAAAAAGGAAAAAGAAATCCACACTCACAGTAGAAAAATTCAAAAGCCTAAACAGCACAGAAGAATAAAACAGTCCCCATTTTCATACCTTTTGTTGGATTTGGTTGTATTTATTCCATCATTTAATTTTTATACTATTTATATAATCCCTCTGACACAGTTGATACCTACTGGATATATAATTTTATATTAAGCTTTTTTTTTTTTCACTGATGGAAAAGTCTTTAAACTGCCCAGACAAAGTACATTGAAGATTAAAGATAAATGGGAAGAGAAATTGCCATGGGCATCCCATTCTGGAGACAGTATAATGAAGTGGAAATCCACTGGGTAAGGGAATTCTTCGCTTGTCTCCCTGGTTACCTGTCTCAGCCCTCAAACCTCAACTTACCACCTGGCTAGGACCAGAAAACCCAAGTGGAGGTACAGCTTCTGCAGTTTAGGGCCCCTGGGCAATTGGCTCTACGGGCTTCACTTTCTTCATGTCTAGATCGAAACACAAACATAGATATTCTCCAAGGCACCCCACAAGCGCAAAAGTCTATGCTTTGTACTTAGGGGCTAGAGAAGGCCAAGACTTGTAGGTGAGGATGACTGTAAAGGTCAAGCATTAATGATTGACAAACATTAACATTATATTTTGAGTCCTAAGTATGGAGATGTGTTCTTCGTTTAGCCCAGTAGACAGGTTCCTAAAAGGGTGTGTTAGAGCTGCTTGGAAATCAAATGGTAGTGCCCAATCTTCTTACTATATCATCCCACAGCAACTTACCTTCACCCAGTAGAACTGGGCCCAGCATAGTTTTAAGTTTTCAGATTCCTAAACTTTCCTGTTTATTCAAAACCATTCAGTGCTTAAGAGAAAACACTATAGTTATACTTTGTAATGACCATGTCCTGGAATCTTTTCTAAATTGAATAATCACTTAATTTATCTGGGATTTAGTTTTAGAACAAAAAAAACTAAACAGTATGGTAATTTTACTTTACTTTTCCAGTGTGAAACATTTAGATTTCTCTGTTTCTCAAGATATATCCTGGGAAACAAAATAGGGAACTCCTTTCTTCCCTCCCTCCCTCCCTTTGTTTATCCCTCCCTCCCCCTTATGCTTTTATTCCTTTCCTCTTTCAGCAAGTGTTTGTAGTTCTTTCTGTATGCCAGACTCTATGCCATGGATTGTCAGGTGAAATTACATTATATCCATGAACACCTGGGTTTTTGGAATTATTGGTGGAGCTGGATTTTAGAAAAACAAAAAAATAACCAACCAACCAATCAAACAAACCAAAAAAACAATATCTGAAAGTCAGGGAGTATTTATGCTTTAAAAAAAGTCTTTACATATTACTCTCTGCGACATTAGCCTTTGTTTTTGATTCACTAATGTCTTGGTTTGGAGGAATGGTGGGACAGAGAACTTTCAAGCTAAAGTGATGGACGGCATGGTTTATCGGTAAATGCTTGGAGGGAACAAAGCAAAGTTCCACAGTGGTGACACCAGTGTCTTGTCTTACTAAAACTCAGATCACAATCAATTTTGGGGGGAAAATGACCTTTTTTCTAGCTTTATTGAAATATAATTGACACAACGTCGTGTAAGCTTGATGCTGATTTAATACATGTATATATTGTGAAATGATTACCATAATAAGGTCAGTTAACAACTCTATCACTTCTCATAATTACCGTTTTTTTCCTGTGGCGAAAACATTTAAGATTTACTCTCTTAGCAATTTTCAAGTATATAAAACACTATTGTCAACTATAATTGTCGTGCTGTACATTAGATCCAGAGTTTATTCATCTTATAACTGGAGGTTTGACCCCTTAACCAAAAAGGGGTCTCCCTGTTTATCCCACTCTCCATCCTCTGGCAACTACCAATCTACTCTCTGTCTATGAATTTGGCTTTTTTGGATTCCACATATAAGTGAGATCATACAGTATTTGTCTTTCTCTGTCTGACTTATTTCACTTAGTAAAATGTCCTCAAGTTCCATTCGTGTTGTCAGAAGGTTTCCCTTCTTTTTCATGGATGAATAATATCCCATTATTTGTATATACCACGTTTTCTTTATCTATTTATCTGTCAGTGAACACTTAGGTTGTTTATTATGTCTTGACTATTTGAATGAGGCTTCAATGAACATAGAGGTGCAGATATCTCTCCAAGGAAGTGATTTTATTTCCTTTGGATATATACCTAGAAGTGATATTGCCGGATCATATGGTAGTTCTATTTTCAATTTTTTGAGGAACCTCCATATTGTTTCCCAAAGTAGCTGTACCAGTTTACATACCCACCAATAGTGCACAAAGGTTTCCTTTTCTCCACATTCTTGCCAACACTTATCTCTTGTCTTTTTGATAATAGGCATTCTAACAAGTATGAGATGATAGCTCATTGTGATTTTGATTTGCATTTTACTGATGGTTAGTGAGGTTGAGCATCTTTTCATGTACCTGTTGGCCATTTGTATGTCTCCTCTGCCTATTTCTAAATCAGATTATTTGATTTTTTTTCCATTGAGTTGTATGAGTTCCTTATATACTTTGGATATTAACTCCTTATCTGATGTATGGTTTGCAAATATTTTCTCCCATTTTATAGGTTGCCTTTTCATTTTGTTAGTTGTTTCTTTTGTTGTGCAGAAACTTTTTTGTTTGATGTAGTCCCACTTATTTACTTTTGCTTTTGTTGCTTGTGCTTTTGGTGTCATATCCAAAAATTCTTTCCCTAGACCAATGTCAAGGAGCAATCTAGAGAAAGAAGAACAAAGCTGGAGGAATCACATGTCCTGATTTCAAACTATATTACAAAGCTATAGTAATCAAAACAGCATGGTACTGGCATAAAAGCAGACAGACTAATAGAACAGGATCAAGAGCCTACATATGAACTCATGCACATACAGTCAACTAATATTTGACAAGGGAGCCAAGAATACTCAATGGGGAAAAGAATAGTCTCTTCAGTAAATGATGTTGGGAAAACTGGATATTAACATGCAAAAGAATGAAATTAATCCCCTATCTTACACCACTCACAAAAAATGAATTTGAAATGCATTAAAGACTTAAATGTAAGACCTGAAACAATAAAACTCGAAGAAGAAAATATAAGGAAAATGTCCTTTTAACCAATTGGGATCATGTCCATCTCAGGGATGTGACCTCCCCCTACACCCCCAACACTGAAAGACACACTTGGCCTCTTTTCACTCAGAAGTGTAGTGCTTGCAAATTGCTGAGGAAAGGCTGCCTGCAAGTCAGCCTCAGAGGAGAAATTATTATCATCCTTTCTATGTACTAAGGCAGGATCTCAGTGAGTTGAGCCCCTGCCAAGTTGTAAAGGTTGACATTTACTGAAGTGAAGTGAAAAGAGCAAGAACTGGGTGATTCAAATCCTGGCTTCAACTTCACCGGACTGCACTTCTCTGAGCCAGTGTTTATTCTGGAAAGAAAGGGATAATCATACTGGCCTACCTTACACATTTGTTGTGAGAGTTATAAATAAAATAAGTTCATAGCACGCGTAGACTAGTACATAATAGACACTCAATAAATGGCATTTTTTTCTAAATTGCAATAGCAGTAATCATGTACCTGTTTGTCTCTCAAGAAGTTAGGAGGCAGTGCTAGACACATACCATTGGTCAGGAATTTAGCGGCTATTGTATATCTTCTTCATAGGCATTCATCCTAATAACTCTGCCGAGTTTAGCAAGTTTACAAGTTAGAATGCTGTAGATGAAATATCTTTAAAACCTGGACACTGTTTGCACTTTGGAATCCCAAGGCAGAGGCTCACACTGAGTTGAAAGCATTGCTAGTAATGCGTCACTCACGATATTTAGTGGGAGAGCTTACCCTCAGTTTAACTGAGACTTTATTTTCAGAGTATAATCAGGGGAAGGAGAGATGCACTGTCAGAGCTCAAGGACCCCCATTCAAAACATGCATAGATATGCCAGGTCTCTTCCACAAAAGCCTGGAGAAATCAAGTATCTCCTTTCTTCCTAGGGCTTTAAAGATCCTGTGTACCGAGCAAGACGGAAGGAATTTGCTGACATTGCCTACAGCTATCGACAGTAAGTCTGCTCTTCAGGGTGGGAGGTGGAGCAGGGAGTGAGGGGCGTGAGAAGAACAACTCCTAGCCTGCCTCTCCCTCGCCCAAAGGGAAACTACCGGTGTAGAGAATCCTCCCGTGTGTGTGTGTGTGTGTGTGTGTGTGTGTGTGTGTGTGTATTTAAACCCTCCCTTGAATAACACACATTTTAAAAAATCGACCGCAACACAAAACAAAATTACCCTCTGTGCCAGGGCCCAGCTCTCTCCCAGGCTTTGTTGTGTAATTACGCAGGAATGTCTGAAGTAATTATAAAAGGCCTCAGTCCTGAATAAAATAGCCTCTGGTATTCTCCACATTGAACCAGAAGCTGGCAAAAGAGAATTATTTACATTCAAGAGGGAGTTGGCTGCTTTACTGAAATAAGTGAAGCATTGGAGGTTTCAGGAGAGCCAAGCCTCAGGGTTCTACTTTTATCTGATCTGACCCAGATGTGAAGGGCAATTTTAGGACGAGTTTATTTTTTTCTATCTGGGGTTCTGTGCTCCTCCTCTACCAGATTTCAGTCAAAGGAAAATGCAAATGTCAAATATGTTATTTGGGAAGAGAACCACTTTGCTATTTTGAGTCCTCAGAAACGCTCCCATGAGAAACTCAGTGTTTGGGGACCTGAGCTCCATTCCTGAGTTAAGAGTGTGAGAAAAGACATGCCCAAGAAGAAAGGAACAGGTTGTTCAGAACACTGAGGTGATGGTATTTTAACAGCTTTGCTAGAATATGAGGGAGATAAAGGAGATGCTAGGGCTCTGTATACTGAATAAAAGCCTACCTTCCAAAGGGAAAGACTTCCAGAGAAAATGAGAAAATTCCTTTCTCTGAAAGAGTCCTGGTAGTAGAAAGATCCAGAATAGTGCAGACCTTGGTCATATCTAGACCCAGCTGGGCCTTGGCTTGTGGCAAGCAGGAATCACAGAACATGGTGACCTCTCTCCCCTGTCCCCACCGTGGCCCCAGCATGGACAGGTAGACACCATCAAATCAGGTACAGACAAGAGTCTTCTTGAGATAGTCAGTAATAATAGGTCATATTTATCATCTCCTTGCTATGTCTGGGGCTTTGCTAAATGCTTAGTTTACATTATTTCATTTAGTTTTAATAATAACTCCCCATTTTTCAGGTGGAAAAACTAAAGCTTAAAAAAGATTAAGTAACTTGCCAAAGTTATAGAACTAGTAGGTGGCATAGTCTGGTTTTGAACGCAGGCTTGTTTAACTGCAAAGTTGTTCTCAACCACTTCCCTGAGTGTCTGGGGATCTCTGAGTCAGGAAACCACACTTCTCCACATAATCCAGGAGCTGCTTATGAGATACATTCACTCCTTCTTGGCTGTTGGGATTTGAAGGGGAAAAACTCAAATCCACCTCCTTTCCATAAAAATGTTACACCTGACGAAGAAGTATGGAATTGGTTGAATGCCTCCTGATTCTGGATGGTCATCAGATAAGTTAAACTGGTTTTTGAAAACTATTCATAGATGGCTGGTACTCAGAGGAATACCAGAGATCTTCCAGTCAATTTTCTACCTTGTATAGATGAATCCCAAATGGTTAAGTGATGTACTCAAGGTCATATATCTCATTAGGGACTGAACTTGTCCTCCAATTCAAAGCCTATTTCCAGCCTCATCTCATGCAATTGTCTTTTATCTCGGTATCTGGTACAATTGATTCTCATTCTTTGAAGATTACTTGCTTAAATTTATTTGAGACCCCCAAACTTGGGGCACTTTCACATTCATTCCCAGACATGCACAGAGCAGGGAAAAATGTGTCCCCTGCCACATTTGTTGAATTTTTGTTCTTTTTGTCAGTAATTTTGCTGTTTAAAATGGCCCTCCAGCGTAGTGCTGAAGTGCTGGCTAGTGTTCCTAAGTACAGGATGGCTCTGACGTGCTTAATGGGGAGAATGTGTTAGATACGCTTCCTTCAGGCCTGAGTTGTTGTAGTGCTGTTGGCTGTGAGTTCAGTGTGAATCTATCAACAAATATGTTAACCAAGGTGTCTTTAACCAGAAGCACATACAAGACAAGGAAGGGATTATCAGTTGTGTCCTGCATTTCCCGCAGGAGCTATGGTTCAGTACTCACTCAGAGTTCATGGTGACTTTATGGAACAGAACTGCCGCCAAAAAGGAGAATCAGCTCTACTCTGCTCTCTGCTGGTTTCCCTCCTTCCTCTTTGAGGCTTCTTCTCAGTCTCCTCTGGCCTCCTCCTCCCACCCCAGAAATTGTCATGCCTTTCAGGACTCAGCTTTGACCCTCTTCCTTGGGCTCTGCCACCCTCCATGCCAACAGCCCCTCATTCTGGTCTCTAGTGCCTTCCCAGTCATCCTACCACATGGGGCTCAAACTCCTGCCCCTTGAGTCCTAGAATCACAGGATCAGTTGATACAATGTGTTTACTGTGTTCCAGGACCTATGCCAAGAGCAAGACAAACAGACTCTGTGTCTTCTGGGGGATCATTGAGAAAGACAGACAATAACAAAAAGAACAATAAACACAATAGGTATGACTAAAGTCAAAACACAAGTGTCATGAGGCCACATAATTAGGAACTTTAATGTAGACCGGGGGAATTGGTTAGAGGAAGTGATATTTAGACTGAGAATTGAAGATTGAGTAGGAGTTTTTCAGCGGAAGAGAATGAGGATAGTGGATGAGAGGGCAGGTCTGGTTAGAAACAGGGCTTTTGTTTTATTAGTAGATGTATCAGTATATATCTGGGGACAGAGCTGAATTACTGGAGACAGTAAGGAAGCAGCTAAACCCTGCTCCTGTTTGCCACCCTCTTCTAGGCCCATCTACCGTGTGATGCTTTGACTCTCCTCCAGAAGAATATTTAACAAAAGTCTTAAAACATCACTTTAAAGAGACACTGATTACTGTTGTGTTTTGCGGGCACCAAATTATTTGTCCTGGTGATAATTCCATGTGTGGGGACTTGGTGTAAAATAAGACTGAGTGAGGAAGGCTATGCCAGGTGCTGGAGTACCTTGAATGCCATCTTTGGTTGGTGGAATAATTCAAAAGCAGTGTCTTCTCCTTAAAACATGTTTTTTTTTTTTTTGGAAGAGGGATTCTAATTGGCTGAACTAGAAATCCTTTTATTTCAAGCCAAATTGATACTCTTCCCAAAATATCTTAGTTTATTTTACTTAATGAGATCATAGTTTTAAAAAATTAATTGACGATGTATTCAGAGACTGAGGAACTTGTAGAATCTCAGGCCTCTTGGTAGAAGGAGAAGATGGAAAAAATGTGCTGAGTTCAATTCCTAAGTAGACTATGGAAGCTGAGGTGTGTGTGTGTGTGTGTGTGTGTGTGTGTGTGTATAAAACAGAATTCTGAAGTATTTACTATATCCAGGCAGCATTTCACACATTGCTTACTTGATTATCACTACAATGTTACTAGGTAGGTTTGATTATCCTTATTTTGAAAAAAATATATAGATACAGGTACAGATATAGATATAGATATCAGAGAGTGGCAATAACTTGCCCAAGGTCTGACACAGCTGGGAAGCTGCAGAGTTACAGCTTAGATTCTCCTGCCTCTTCCCAGGAAAGCAGGGGCCCCTGGGCCACTCACATCTAGGTTGGGATGAGCTGCCCCAGGAGGCATGTAAAGAGCACAGAGCTGTCACTGCCCCAGACTGTAAGGATGGGTGCTGTCAGGCTGAATCTGCAGGAAGTCTGAGTCAGAACCTCAAACAGGCAAGTGCAGGTGAAAGGAGGGCTCCAGAGTGAACCCTCACCTCCCTGGGTCTTTATACAAATGGCACCTTCTCAGCCAGGTCTTCTCCAATGTCCCATGTAAGACTGAAACCCCTCCCTAACACCCCCCATAGGGACCTTTGCTCTTCTTTTTCTCCCTTACACTTTTCATCATCTAACAGAATTGTGTGGATTTTCTGTCTCCCCCCCCCCATTAGAAATGTGGGCTCCACAGGGCAGGGATGTTTCTTTTTTGATGCGGTAAAAATATTTAACAGGAGATCTAGTTTCTTAACAAAAATTTAAGCATACAATACAATAATATTAACTATAGACAATATTGTACAGCAAATCTCTAGAAAGAAATTAATCATCTTGCATAACTGAAATTTAATACCCGTTGAACCACAGCCTTCTGTTTTTCCCTCCCCACAGCCTCTGGCAACCTCCATTCAACTCTCTGCTTCTGTGTGTTTGACTCTTTTATGTACCTCATGTAAGTGGAATCATGCAGGATTTGTCCTTTAGTGACTGGCTAGATTCACTTAGCATAATATCCTCAAAGTTCATCCATGTGTTTGCATGCGGCAGGATTTCCTTCTTTTTTAGTGCTGAGTAACATTCCATTGTAAGTGGTAGGGATTTTTGACTGTTTTGTTCACTGCTATATTCCCAGAGCATCATGAGTGTTCAATAAATATTTGTTGAATGAATAAATGAATGCATGAACCTAAGAGACCATACGGTAAAGATTCAAAGCGGTGAGTCAGAGATGGAGCTGGGAATTGTGCCGAGAATCACCTAGAAGGCAGCTGCAGCAGGTTTGGATTATGTTACTGGGGTGGGGGTTAGGCTTTAAAATTTTATGTAAGAATACGCTAAGTGGACTATAGGGATTTATATCTTTCAGCTGCAAGTCAACTCAAACAAAAAGGAGGCTTTTCTTGGCTCCTATAAGTGAAAAGTTTAAGGGAAGTAATTGAGGCACAGGTGGGTCTGGGACTCAGCGTCTCATTCTCTCTCCCTCCCCCGACTCTGGTGTCCTCTGTAGTGGCCTTGCTCAGAGGCACTGGCCTCATGTCTCTTGGAGGTGGACCCCAGCACCGCCAGGCTGACACCACAGCCCAACCAGAGATTCTGTCTCTTTTCAACACAATCAACAAAAGTTCTCTCATTGAGTCTCATTGGCTCTCATCAGGACATGGGCCCATCTCTCAGCCAGTCACTGTGGCCAGGGAAATGAGACACTCTAATTGACTGGGCCTGGTCACATGCCCACCTCTGAAGGTAGGAGTGGTGGAGTCTCCTCTTACCTGAACCTGCAGACTGAGATGGGAGAAGGGTGCTTTACTGGAAGAATGGGAATGGATATTGAACCCCTGGCACGGTAAATGTCAACCAGGGGGACAGCTCGGTGCCTAGGACGTTACTAACTCTTGAAAATTTGTTGCAGAAATAGCAGATACCTTTCTTTCTAAATGAGAATCCATTATCATGATAATTACCAACTATCCAATGGTATTATTGTCAGCACCAGTGTTACGTACTTTATACATAGCATTTCTTTTCTTTTTAATTTAAAATTTTTTTTAATTTTTTAACGTCTGTATTGTATACGTAGCATTTCAGTTAACTCTCTTCCATACCCTCCAAAGAGTTAGTTGGCATTAGCCCACCTAACGGCTATGCAGACTAGGCTCAAAGAGGTTTACTAAATTGCTTGAGGCCATTCAGCTAGGCAATGGCGGAGCGAAGCAGTGAACCCATCTCTGTCAGTTTCCAAAGCCTGTTCTTTCCCTGCATCGGCACTTAGCCCTGAAACAATGGTGCATCCATAGGCAGGGGCTTTCCTGATGTTCTTTTCAGTCCCTACGCCATTATAGAACCCTCTGGGCTTGTCTTGCTTTCAATTCTGAAGCAACAGTCTGTCTTTTTCCCCTAATCCCTGCCCATCTTTCCGTGGAACATAATGATGACTTTGCTTTAATGTCCTTGGAAGAGCGACAGCTCTGAAAGGGCAGGAGGGACCTAGTTTGGAGCCTGAAGATGATCCATAATTCTAAGGTAAACAGTCTCGCCTTGTCCCAGACACCGTGTACCCTGTTAGGAAACAGGCCTGTAGCCCAGAGAACAGTCACGGGCCTTTGAAGTCAGGCTTTGTTTGGTTTTCATTTGTTTTTGCTGTTCAGAACACAGCTCACTCTTAGATGGTTTTCAGAAGGACCTATCGAACTAATGACTCTCAAATTATAATGTGTCACCTGGGAGCTTATTGGAATCCAGATGCCCGGGCCCTCCCCTTCCCCACAGGTTCCGGATCTGAGGGGCAGATACTTTAATAAGCTCCCCGTACTTTTGTTATGTCATAGCGGAAGATGCTAGGTAAGCAGATCTTGCACCTAGCATGCATTTAAGTACCTTTATAACTTCCTAGGGGCAGAAATATCAAATCCAGCAAGTACATGCCCATTAAACAAGGGATCTCAAACTCACGGTACACATATTAAATCCACTTTAGCCAACAGGTAGAATTGCTTTAGTTTGCTTGAACTTGGATGCCTTTGTTTAGAAAGAGGATGTATTCTTCACTTGACTCAGCCTCCGCCCTCCTATCTAGACCTGCTACTTCACACATTTATATTACAGGCTCCCGAAGGTAAGTGAATTTCCACACTGGGTAAAGAATAGGAGATAGGAGAACAGAAAAGCCAAGTGGTTTCCCAAAGTGAGAGGAAATCCTTGGTGCAGTGGATGAGGTGAGAGCTTGTATCCTTGCTTAACCAAGTCACATGAATGTTTGCTATATCAAGAAATGGAATTTCCCTCTTTCAAATCACTTATGAAATATGAAATCCGCTGTGGTCGGGGGCGGCAGCTCACAGACTCTGAACCCGTCTCCCTCTGCTACGGCTCCTTCATCCTCTACTCTTGCACCTGCCCTGCAGCAGACAAATATTTCATGTCTGTATCCTAGTGGGCAGCCCATCCCTCGAGTGGAATACACGGAGGAAGAAAAGAAAACATGGGGGATAGTGTTCAGGACCCTGAAGTCCTTGTACAAAACCCATGCTTGCTACGAGCACAACCACATTTTCCCACTTCTGGAAAAGTACTGTGGCTTCCGCGAAGATAACATCCCCCAGCTCGAAGAGGTTTCTCAGTTTCTGCAGAGTAAGTCCACATCAGGGTCAAAAGGTCGGTGTGGGGAGGATGGGGAGGGGAAGAAAAGTAAATGGAGGTGAGTGTGTTCATGCTGATGCAGGCAGGTTGCTTGTCCCAAGAAAACCGGGATTGCACAGGCTCCGGATGCGCAGGCTCAGCGGCCATGGCTCACGGGCCCAGCCGCTCTGCAGCATGTGGGATCTTCCCGGACCGGGGCACGAACCCGTGTCCCCTGCATTGGCAGGCGGACTCTCAAACACTGCGCCACCAGGGAAGCCCCCTGAAAGGATTTTTTAACACTCAAAGCCCAAGGTGCCTCGTCCAGGTTCTTCCTGCAGCTCCTGCTGCTTTACGAGCTGGCTGCAGTGTGCGTTTGTGTAAGAAAATGAGATTTGTGCCGAGATACCTGAGCTCTAAGTCTATGCATCTGGTATCTGGAATCTTGCTTTGATCCTCTCTAGTTGGGAAAAACTACCTCAGTTTAGTCATCTGTCAAATGGAGACCGTCAGCCTTTTAGCCTTTCTCCTAGGGAAATTGTGAGAATGAAATAAGATATTGAATGTGAAAGCATAGTGTTACCTAGTGTTATGGCAGGTGCTCATGGAATTTGGGCTTCGTTGGAATCTGAGTAACTCAGTGGGTAAATTCGTGATCGGGTTGACCTGCCCATCATTTCCAGGGGAGATAAATGTTTTCCTTTCTGCCAGGTGGTGTTGACTCAGCAAAATCAAAATAAACAGACAAAACATATTAAACACCTATTACGTGCCAGGTAAAATGAGGGAAAGTGGGGATACAGACCACAGGGTTATAGAAAGAGTTTTCCGTGCCTCTGAACTATGCAGAGATGCTATGGCCAGCTCTGGGGCAAAAAGCCAGGGAAGCTACGTGGCAGGGAGGGAAGTGGTAGCTAGGATAGATTGGGAGAGGGGGTGGCTAGATGACCTTTTGAATCCCTTCCGTTTAGAGTCTTTACTTCTCAGATAAAGAGAGGAGCGGGGAGCCCAAGCAGAATGAACTTCAGCCTGAGGTTCTAAGGCACGTAAGCGGAGGGACAAAGGAGTCTTAAAGACATTCTTTGATTAATTACGCAGGTTGCTATGGCCAATAACAAGAAGAATACAGCAGTAATACTAGCAGTTGGGGAGGTATAGAGTAGCAATTAAGGAAACAGACTCTGAAGCCAGACTGTTGGTAGCTATGACCTTGGGCAGGAGCCTTAACCTCTGTATGCCTCAGCTTCCCCATCTGTAAAGTGGAGCTAATAAGAGCATCTACCTCCTAGAGTTAGGATGAGGGTTAATTAATATATATAAAGTGATTAGAGCTGTGTCTGACATGTGGTAGGTATTATATAGTGTTAGCTATTATTACCATTATCACTGTCATTACTATTCTCCTTCCAGGTTTGGAACAAATTGAGAGACAGATATAGGAACCAGAGAGATGGGTGATCAAAATGTCAGCTGTATTACTGATAGAAGCTACTTAGAGAATGTGGTATAGATGTGCAACCAAAATGGATTTCCTAATATTTCACCCCTGGATTAGGTAAACTTACTCGCCAATTCATTGGTGCAGTGTGTAGTCCATTGCCTGGCCAAGAGCAGACCAGAATGAGCTACTGTGTGGATCGTGAAGAGAGAAAGGGCAGAGAGGGTTAAATTGAGAATATTCATTTCCTCTTCTCAGATCCTTCAATCAGAGAAGTCACTGTTCCTCAAGGGGTGTCCTGTGTGAAGCACATATAGAAAAGCTAGAAGTGTTCCTTTCATATTCTTCCGTCTTGGGAAGTAGAGTGAAAATTCCCTCCCCACTCTGGAAACATGAGAAGTAGGGGATAAGCATTCCACCCTAACAAACAATAATGAAAGCTAAATTTACTGGATGTTTCCAATGTGCTAGGCTCTAAGTATTTTATATTTATTAGCTCTTCTGATTCTCAGACTAACCCTAAGAAGTATCTACCCCCATTTTGCAGATGAGAAAACTGAGGCTCAGAGAAGTGAAACTCCTTGACTCAAATCACCCAGCTAGAAAGTACTGGGGCATAGATTTGAAGCCAAGTCTGCTTGGCATCGACACCCATGCTCCTGGACAGTTGAGTGTACTGGTTCCCCCCCTAAAGGTCTTTAGGCCCTTTTGGCTCCCTGTGATGGGCTTTCAGTTTTCTTTCTCCTTTGCTTCCCAGCTTGTACTGGTTTCCGCCTCCGACCTGTGGCTGGCCTGCTTTCCTCTCGGGATTTCTTGGGTGGCCTGGCCTTTCGAGTCTTCCACTGCACTCAGTACATCAGACATGGGTCCAAGCCCATGTATACGCCTGAACCGTGAGTATCGTCCTTCTGCTATCAGTTGCCAGCCAGTGAGTGCCATCTCTCCCTGCTCCGGGCACACTGTGGGCTGGTCCATGGGACCAGTTGCCTGGATGACAACAGTACGACAAGGGAAACTCATCTCTTCTGGGGATTTTCTCTGTCGGAATAGATTGTACTGATTGGAAATTTAGGTATCTTGTGACTCAAAGGTTCAGATCTCCTCTGAATGAGAGAATGAGAGCTCACATTCAAATTCCAAAGAGACGGTAGAAGTCAGAGCTGTGAAGTGCCCAAGGGGAACAGGAACAAGTGACGGCCAGGCTGTCTCAACACCTCCTCATTTCTGAATCACACCTAGATGATTCTAATCTCTCTTTGCCTAGATTGTGTCTTGGCTGGAGGTAGTGAATGACTAGCCGCCATGCTTTTAGCCATCTTCTTAGTCAGATAGAACTTAAGCAATTGATATGAAAAGTCAGCAGGATGCCCCAAATGATCTTTCCCAGCCTGCAAAGTTCATTACTGTAAACCAGAAAAGACCTGTTCCTAATAAACCTGGTGCCGAAAGTGTTAAATAAACGTTAAATTTTCTTCTCTGACCAACGGCTGCCCTCTCCAGAATAAGAGAGGACTCTGTCATTATTATTACGTTCCCATGAGGAATAACTAACTGAGCATATTGTATCTGCCCAGGGATGTCAATACCAACGAGAAGACTTGGGATGGGAAGTGTTTGTGATCCACAGCTCGCGCAGGCGTATGGGAGGATGCTCATAGGAATATTGCCTCTTTTGTTCTGCATCCCACTGGGCGTACACCGAAGACCCCCTGGCTGCCGTGCCCTGCCCTGTCCCTTACTTTTCTTTCCCCTTCTCCCTTTTCTCTTGTACCTTGTCTCAACTGATAGCAAGCTTTACACACCACTTATTCTTAGGAATGAGTTTGTAAGACTGAATGAGTTGCTTCCTTTCTTGCACCCATTCCTCACGTAGAGAGACTGAGTCTGTCATGGCTTATAACCCTCCTCCCCTCCAAGCTCTGTGCTTTCTGTTTTTCAGTGACATCTGCCATGAGCTGTTGGGACATGTACCCTTGTTTTCAGATCGCAGCTTTGCCCAGTTTTCGCAGGTGAGGAACTGATCTCTCTAGCCTTCTACTTACAGGGGTGAGACCTGGACTGCTCAAGGTAAATTGAATCCATGGAGGGGCCTTCATGTCCTCTGCCAGGGTAGAAACCAGGTACAGTTCTGTGATCCCATCACAGATGGGTATGTGGTCCCATGGAGCTGGCCAATTGCCAATCCCAGGGACCACAGCATGGAATTGGTGACTCAGTCATCCTCTGAATTGTGTGTTATTGACTTAGCTAATCTCACTTGTCCTACCGGGTGTAGTTTAAGAGCCTTTTCATCCGTGAAAAACCTCCCTGATCCCCATGCAGAAGTAACCTTACCATCTTCCAAGTTCTCCGGGCATTTTTTTTTCCCCGTCCTCTTTAGGGCCTTTGCCACTTTCTCCCCTGTCCGGCAGTCAGTTTTGTATATGCTTTCATTAAGTAAGATGGCATTTGACAAGAATCCAATGCCAATAGCCTGACTCATAGCTGACAAAAAATAAAGGGCCAGTTGCCTCGTCACCATCATCAAAGCAGCAGGCTAGGCTTTGATTCATCTAGCACAGTGGTGTGAGCAGGCTCGAAAATGCTTTTTGGATGAGTGAAAGGATCCTAGTAAGTCTCTCCTGGCACTGAGAGGCAGCCCTAAACCATGACTGGGTAACTGCGATCATGGGAGAGTTGAATGGTGCTGCCGGGGGGGCACGTTGCCAGGCCACCCTGTGCCTGGGTCACAGAGACGTGGATCAATAAAAGCCCTCCCTGACAGTTTTCTTCCTCACAAGGAAGAATGAGGATCAAATGGAATGACCTATGAGCAAAGGCTGGGCCACGTGTGTGTGAATTTCACAAGCATTTCCCCTCAGCAGAAAGAAATAACTATTTTCACTCTTGAATGAAGAGGCTACCACTGAGTAGCTGAAACAAACTAACCAACAGAAAGCAGAATTAACTGCTTGCTAACCAAGGGAAAACTGCACTTGTTAGACACTGCCTCTCTAAACAAAGACAATGATTGCTTTTTTGTGGGTTTGGGGGGATTGTGAAGTTCAGAGATTGTTGGACTTTTAGAAGTGGGAGTGTTTAGAGATTAGGTGAACTTTAACTGTGAAAGCCTCACCATGGGACTGAGGCTATTTGCCGACCAGCTGACTTTCAGAAGTGCGGTTCCTGCTTCTAAGATGTCATTGATTGCTTGGGATAGCTTTCAAACCAGGATTTGTTAACACGGCCAAAGGAAGATCAGTTTTTTCCTCGGGGAATAGGAACCTTTAATTCTCATCACCAGAGGTTATTCTGCCCAGTCAGAGGCCAAGTGGCCATTCTCCCCAAGCCGGTTCCATTTTGGGGACTCCCCACAGAAGACAGGACAATTACCTGAGTCAGCAGACAGAAGCTACTGGGTCATGAGTGTTCACGGTTCCAACTTTGACCCGGACAGTTCCAAGGCAGGGAGTCATTTTGAGTTCCCTGAGCATATTCCTTTGTGATCTAAAAGCAGGACACTGGAGTGCAGGATGGAGTGGGGATGAAGCACTTTGGGCCCCTTGTTTTAGGCAAGATCTGGGCTCACAAAGAATGGTGACTATGAGAACAGGGCACTCTTTCAACCTTGCATTTGTCTATGACTTCTGTTCGATTCAGGACCGTGGCATGTCTGAGCTGGGTGGATGGAACACAGATGGGGAAGGGGCAGGAGAGTGGAGCCAGGCTAAGTCAGTGTCTGAATTTGATTTACTCTAAATCAGACAGCATTTTCTTTGCATGTAATGGGCTTGGCCAGGGAGGGATACAGAGATGAAGACCATGTAGCCTCTTGCTTCCAAGTGGGCCCAGTCCTTGGTCCTTCTCTCTGTCTGCTTTAAGCACCATCCAATCTCATGGCTTTAAGTACCATCTCCACTCTGACGATGAACACATTTATACATCTAGCCCAGACTTCAGTCCCAAAACTGAGACTTACATATCCAACCAACTACTCAATATCTCTGCTTGGATGTCTGATGGACATCTCTATTCATCCTGTCCAAAGTGGAATTCCTGATCTTGCCACTCAAACCTTCTTCGCTTACAGCTCTTCCTGTATTAGCTCATGGCAACTCCATCCTTCCAGTCGCTCAAACCGAAAGCATTATTGACTCCTCTCGGACATACCCCACAATCAATCTTGCATAAAATTCTGTCTTTTACCTCCAAAATATGTAGAATCTGACCATTGCCCATCACGTCCACTGCTACCAATTTCATCTCAGCCCTATCGCTTCTCATGCTGGTGACTGCAGTAGCCTCCTAACCCGTCTTTATGCCTCTACACTTGACCCCCTACAGTCAACTCTCACACAGCAGTCAGAGTGAATCTTTGATGGCACAAATCAGATCTTGCCACCCTTCTGTTCAAAACCCTGCCTTGGCTCCCCGTGTTGTAGAGAGGAGAATCCTAAGCCCTAAAACAGCCAAGGAATTCCTACATGATTGAGCTGCAGATCCCTCTTTGCTGTCACCTGCCACCCCTAACCCTTACTCTGCTCTAGCCACAGTGGTCCTTCCCCGTTGTTTGAACCAACCAGCATTGCCCCTCCTTCACGAGCTTTTCCACGGGCTGTACACTTGGCCTGCACAATTCTCTTTCCTCAAATATCAGCAATGCCATCAACCTCTCTTCCATCAAGTCTTTGCTCAGATATCGCCTTCCCAATGATGCTTACCCTGGAAGCTTATTTAAAATCCCAGCCTCCCCACCCCACCCCCGCTTTCCTGGTACTCCGGGTCCCCCCTTGTCCCTTCATCCTTTTGTTTCTTCTTTCCAAAGAACTTACCACCTTGTAACATACCTATGTATAAGCTTATTATTTCTGTCTTTCGCTATCCACTTAGACACAATTTACAAGGTCAAGGATCTTTATCATTTGGTACACTGCCTGCCACACAGAAGGCATTTGATAAATATTTTTGGAATAAATAAATTCATATAGTAGGAAAGAAGCATATATATTTGTATATATACGGTATGTCTGATACAAGGTAGGCTGGAGCAAATGCCATGAAAGAGACAGAGACCACTAGGGGATCCTGGATTTGGAGCTGTGATGAGAGGTGGTCCATGACATCTCAGACTCTCCAGCTATGTATATACCTGGACAGATGTCAAGCACTTCTCTGCAAGTCTCCTGTGGTGTCTTCAGGGTACATGATTAAGTCTCATCTAGTGCTCCAGGAATGTTCCACTTGAACTATGGAATAATAATCAGGACATGAAACTTCAGATGCCACTTATCGCGTGACCTTGAGCAGGTCGTCTCCCTTCTCTGTGCCTCCGTTTTCTCTTTTGCAAAGTGAATACAAAGGACCAAGTGATGGATAAAGGCTTCCCCCATTCTAGAGATCTGTGATTTTATGAAATGTGGTCAAGGAAGATTTGACAGAACAATGAGAGTCTATCTGGGCCCTTCTGAAGGCATCTAGCCACCCATCCCTTTCCTGTGGTCAAGTATGAGGTCGGACCCGAGGGTAAAGGTTGAAGATAGGCAGACCCCAGCCATGCCAGTGACTTTGTTTCTCCACAATTACAGGAAATTGGCCTCGCCTCTCTGGGTGCCCCCGACGAGTACATTGAGAAACTCGCAACAGTAAGTTCTCTCTCTTCCTGGTGGATGGTGTCAGGGCCTCAGGTCTTTGAAGCTTTGCTCCTTCCCTGAAAGCCAGGTCATTTGCGGAAAAAAATCAGAATGCCCTGGGTTACGTTTGCACGAGTGACATTTCACATTTTGACTTCTTAATGGTTTGATCGTGAAATCAACTGTATGTAGACATTTAATTTTAAACAGTGTCTTGAAAACACCAACAGCCTATAATGATAGTCCTTGAGAACCCCCCTAAGTGGGTGGGAAGCTGGATTCACAGCTTTGAAGAGGGAATATTTACTCTCTACCTTTACACTGGAGCCAGCATTAAGATCTTTCCTTTCTCAGACACCAGGTAGAAAAAGGGGTGGGCTTTCCCCTTCTAACTGAACACTTCCTTCCCCAGTGGATGCGATGGCTCATCCTTTGAAGCCATGGAGGCAGTGACTCTGCACAGACTCTGCACAGGGCTTTCCTTCCTACAGACCCCTTTCCAGCTTGCGTGCATCCCTCCCCAGCCTCTAAGCCACATTTCTTATAATGTGCTCAGCTGGGAAGATGAGAAATAAAACTTTATAATGGAATTAGGGACGGCAGATGAATGCAAATATATCATGAAGATGTATCAGTTTAGAAGTTTATGAATTCAGTTTATCAGAAGGCCCAAAACTCCGATCCTTTCTCACTGACCAGCTGCTCTGAGACCCTGGGCAAGTGGCTTTTGCTTCCTCATCTCTAAAAATAGACACAATCGTTTATATTCTGCCCATCTCAAAAGTATATCATGATCGTCTTGAGGGTCTGAAGAGTTAAATTTGTGTGAATGTGAGTTTTTAACTGCCAGATGCTGTAGTGATACAAAAAGCAACTTTCAAAGAAAACTGCAGAGCTTGATAGAATCTCTCACTTGTAAGAAAAAAAGAAATTCAAATGCAGAGCATCATGTTACTTGCTGTAACAATGATAAAAGTACTCATTACCAACATAGCTTCTCAAAAAAAAAATCTTATTATTGATATACTGAGCTGGAAACAGTCTTGGGCTCCTTGCTCTGCCCTTGAGATGCTGTGCCACTGTATGCATGTAGCTTGACCTCTCTGGGCTAAAGACTTCTCATCTGTATGTGCGGAGGTCAGACTAAGTTCTGACAGCCTTCGCAGGTTTAGCATTCTCTAGTGCAATCAACGGACTTAACTAGAAACCCACAGCTAATTCTCCAAGACTGTGACAATCTCTAGCACTAACTGGGCCTTGGCTTTCTCTTGGCTCTATTCAGTAGGGTGGTGCCAGACTTCCAAGACCTTATTGCCCAGGCCATTTATCTAGGGCACGTTGCACTGGGAGCTATTGAAAGAAAAGGATTTGGTTTTTGGGGAGGATAAGTGCAGTGACTGACAGGGTTTTAACACAGATTGTTGGATGGTAGGGATATTAAATAATAACCTCCGAACTGAGAAGGAAGTTTGAGGCCAAAAAAGGAAGCAGGAAACTCCATAAAATGCAATGATGAAGTTTATTGTGTGTAACTTACACACAGGCAGGGCCAGGAGGACAACAGCCCAAAGGCATTTGTAGCCTCACTCTGCCACACGAGAAGGGTACAGGGGGGATTTAAAGGGACCAAAACTAAAGATAGACTCTGACTACTAAGGGAGAAGCATGTCTGCTCCGTCAGGAGCCAGGGTTTTTTCATCCCCTCAGGGGGTCTCATGACCATTATTCCTCATGAGCCATTAACCGTCTGCGTCAGCAAAATTTTTCATATCAGGTGAAGTTTTTATATCAGGCAAGGGTAAAAGTAGATGAGGAACTTGTCTGGTGCATTCCCTGTGAATAGGCTAAAGCTCAGTCTTGCAGAAAGGGGAGGGGTTAGGACTGCAGGCTTAGATGGAGCTGACAAAATGGAGTCAGTGTGGTTCAGCCACACAGATGATAAGATGCCCCCTCACTGATTCTATCATGACCGAATCCCCTGCCTCCCCCGTGGAGCCTGATGGGATTGTCTGGTAACTCCAACCAACTTAGGGGAGCATCTCACTCTAGTTGATGCCATGGAGAAGGCAAAAGGGGTGGAGGAGTTCCTGTCACAGAGAGAGTTGCTTGCTGGGAGTATCCTCTGGGGGCTTCCTCAGTACTCCTCCACTGCGTCCCATCACATCTTGCATTCAGCCAACTCTTGATTCAACAGGTGACTGGATAGGGTAAGACATAGGACACAAAACCATGACCCCAGGTCATGCTGATTCAGAGAACAGACCTGCACAAACTCCCAGCTGGGCAGTCCTGTCCTTAGCCCTGGGTCATCTGCGGCCTTTCCCTTCCACGAGGTATGCTCTCAACTTGACGTTCCATTTCAGATTTACTGGTTTACTGTGGAGTTTGGGCTCTGCAAGCAAGGAGACTCCATAAAGGCATATGGTGCTGGGCTCCTGTCATCCTTTGGTGAATTACAGGTATGACCCTAACAGAAACCAAGGATGGATCTGAAAGCGGTGGGTGCAGCAGACCATCCTTTTTCTCTTTGCGCTGTTGAAACCCATTTGTATTCACTTTGAAATTCAACCTGGGGGCTTCTCCTCAAGTGATTGATCTCTTAGCGGCTATGATTTGGTCACGACTGTGGGTGTTAGAGGTAGTACACAGGTCTCCAGTGCAGAGGGGCCTCCTGAGCCCGAGGTTGAACTGTACATTGGGATATATGCAAACACATGCCGGAAAATGTGGTTGGCCCCCACGTTGTCTATTGATCACCTTACTTGAAAATGGTTGGGGTAAAATACTCCTTTCTATCTTGACTGCTGGCTTTAGACGAGCTATAAAGGTTATCTAGTATATGCCTAATAATTTAGTTTACTGCATTTGGGCTGGGGTATGGAAGGAATCAGGATGGGATGGGAGGGGATGCACCAATGGCCTCTGGGATGTGGCAGGGACCACCAGCCCTGATTTAACCATGAAAACTTTCCATCTGGGACCTGCAGTATTGCTTGTCAGGCAAGCCGAAGCTCCTTCCTCTGGAACTGGAGAAGACGGCTCTCCAGCAGTACACAATCACAGAGTTCCAGCCCCTGTATTACGTGGCTGAGAGCTTTAATGATGCCAAGGAGAAAGTGAGGTGAGGTGATGACCAAGGTGGGTCAACGGCTCTTGGGACCCTCCTGATTTGCCCTAGTGCCCCTGATCTGTGGGTGGCCTGGAGAGTGGACTCCAATGACTATAGCAAGGGCATGCATCAGACCGCGTTATCTCCCAGCCTCCCCACCTTTGTCTCTTTTCACTATCTGTTGAGAGAAGTTCTTTCCTCGCGGGACCCTATTTCATAGCTTATTGGCTGAACTGTGCTGAGCCCTGCAGACAAGCCTGCCAGCCGATCCTTGCTCATTGCCGCCCCCCAGTCCACACCTGAACTCTCCTATGTACAGGGCGGCCACAGAGGTCCGCCCACCGAGTAGCGCTAGAAGTCTTCTAACATGGGGAAGTCCCTGTCGCTTTATTCTCCCAGATACTTGCATAACTCGTCCCCTCCCCTCCTTCCAATCTTCACCGGCATTTAACCTTCTCTGTGTGTCTTTCTCTAACCAGCTTATTTACAGTCACGACCCAGCCCTTTCCCGCCAGCACTCCTTATCCCCTTCTGTGGTTTATTTTTCTCCTTAGCACTTTTTTTTTTGCAGTACACGGGCCTCTCACTGCTCTGGCCTCTCCCGTTGCGGAGCACAGTCTCCGGACGCGCAGGCCCAGCGGCCATGGCTCACGGGCCCAGCCGCTCCGCGGCATGTGGGATCCTCCCGGACCGGGGCACGAACCCGTGTCCCCTGCATCGGCCACTGCGCCACCTGGGAAGCCCCCTCCTTAGCACTTATTAATGTCTAAACTCTTGTATGATTTAAGGTCCACGAGGATAGGAATTTTGGTCTTCTCTGTTTCCTGCTCTTTCCCTGACCCTAGCACAGCGCCTGACACATAGTCGGCCCTCAGTAAGGAATTAACGAATGTACCAGTCTCAGAGGCAGTTCAGCAAGAGGCTGATGGAGTGGTACCAGGGCTCTAAGACTCTCAGCCCTCCGCGATGATGGCCTTGCCATCAACCTGCTTGAGCCACTCTGCTCCCAGCAGGAGGCAGGCCAGGCAGAGGGTCTACCAGCACAGGACAACCATGATGCCATTTTTTACCACTTGTTTTATACCTTATCGGTGATGGATAAAAAGCATGAGGCGTATAAGCCTCTGGGATCCTGTGAAGCTGGGCATGTCAGCTTTCAATGCACTGGGCTTAGGTGAGCAAAGGCAAAATGCTAGCCCACAAATGCACTGGCTTCCCAAGAGGACCTCACTAAAGTTCCATTTCACTTCTCAGCCTGGTTCTAAAGCCCCTGTTCTAGTGAGGTTTCAGTGCTACCAAGAGCCAAGTGAAATGCAACAGAAAAACCTTTTAAAATTATTTTTCCCCGAATGGTACCCTTCACTTAGATCTATGGGTTTGGTTTCAGGAACTTTGCTGCTATAATCCCACGGCCCTTCTCAGTTCGTTATGACCCATACGCCCAGAGGATCGAGGTCTTGGACAATACCCAGCAACTTACGATTTTGGCTGACTCCATCAATAGTAAGTAATTTACACCCTTTGAGGCCATTCTCCCATAACTAGAGGATTGTGTCTTCTTACCTTCACCATAGGAACGATAAGAGATGTATTAAATCTTTAATTAAGAAGAAAAGCATCTCCAGGGAAGCCACTGATTTACTGAAAGAGAAAAACTTGGCAAAAAGGCCAGCATTGCCTTGCGTGTCCTTTCTCCTTTGACCTTCCTAGATTTCACCCCACCTCCTACCATCACACCACTTTTCCACTCTGGCTTGTCGCTGCCACATCCTTCTTTCTCCTTTGCATCTTCACCCCTTTCTCTCTAAGTGTCCACTGGATCTTGCTCTGCCTGGAATACCAACCCCTAAGGAATAGGTTCTATCTACTTTATCAACCATAGAGTAGCTCATCTATTGACTTACTCTTCCTGGATAATGAGGATGTTATCATAGTTGCTCTTAAAAAATCACAGTGTTATTTGTTCATCGCCCGATTTTTTTCTAGCCTTCAGACTCCCTTCCAGCAACACCCACCATGCTTTCCCCTGGGCCCTGGCCTTCGCTCATACAGTTCTTGTTTAAAATAGTCTCCTTACCACTCTCATTTAGTGGTCCCAACCCCAGTTCATCTTTTAATCGTTCATAGATATCTCTTCTGATAGGAAGACTGGTTTGGGTGTCCCTCCTACATCTTGGCATTCCCACAGATCCCTCTCTCAGAGCATTTATCATTACATTTTTTTATAATTTGGTAATTGTTTACTTGTCTCCCCAACTAGACCTGAGCAGGGCCACGTCAGATTTGCTGTCAAACCCCTAGCAGTTAGCCCTATTCCTAAAAATCATATTAGGTACTCAAGAGCTATTGAATAAATGGCTAAAACCACCAAAGGATCAAGCCTAAAGGGAGGAGCTCTAGGCCAAGTGGAGGTTTCTATCTCAAACAATGCTAACGAAGGCCAAAAGGGCAGGTGGGCTTGAAGTATCCCTCTCCTACCCCTCTTATGTTGCCTGAGGCCACTTCTAAGACGTAGAGCTAGCCCATTATAGTCATTCCTCCTTAGGTATGGCCCCCTGCAATCAGCCATCTTGAAAAAGCCCAAGGCTGATTCTCCCCCATAGACACCGTTTGGACACTCGGCTGGAACAGATCTGCTCACCAAAGAGGCCAGCCAAGGGCTCCGGAGGCTGGGGTGTGAGATGGAAGGGTCAGGCCGTAGCTGTTTGCTCTCTCTCTCTCATTTCCCCCGAGGAAGCAAAAGACTATTGTTTATAAGGAAATTTTTAAAATCACAGAACAGCAAATTTAGGAGCTGAAGGGTCCTTAGAGCTGCGTGACCTAATATAAGGCCCCATCACCACTCTGTACTTTCCTCAGGATCTAGGAAGGAGGGAGGCTGATGTGTCTCCAAGGCCCCTTCCACTTCTGTGAAGAGTCTGTGTCCCTGTGGCCCCTTGGCATGTGAGAACATGTCATGAATGGAAGCAGCTCCATCGTACCCTCCTTAGTCCAGTGGTCTGGCAATCTAGGCTGACTTACCTGCTTGGACCATGCCTTCTCAAACCTCGTGTCCCTTAGAATCACTTGGAGAGCTAGAAATCATTTGGAGAGCTAGTTAGAAATTAATAGTCCTGTGTCATATCCCCAGACTAAATTCACTGAATGCGTGATATGACTCAGGAGTTTGTATTTGTAATAAGGCCCCAGGTGATTCCGACACAGCGGGTTTGTGTGGCTTAGGTTCTGTGGCTTAGCTCCTTGCAAGCATCTGTGGTTGGTCATGTAAAAGAGAAACAGAACAGCTAGTGATTTCCCGGGGAGAGAATGATTAACTCCTTCCCTGAGAAACAGCCTATGGAAAAGGGAAACTAATTACATTAATAGCTCTAGTGCCTCCTACAACTTGGAATCGCCTGTGACAACCCAAATCCTAGGATGCCAGCTCCTTGAAGGTTGCGGTGGTACCTAGTATATCCACACACCCCACTGACCCCCTAGTGTTTTACACACTGTGGACACTTGAAGGGTGTTTGTTCATGGTATGAGTGGCTCCTTTGCTTTTCTTTGTAGGTGAAGTTGGAATCCTTTGCAGTGCCCTCCAGAAATTAAAGTGAAGCCATGCACTGAACCTGATCTGTCAACTTGAGAATCTGTTGATGGAAATCCAACTACTTCTTTCATTTCATCTGAAAAAGTCTGAAAAGCAAACCTTAATTCAAAATAACAGCCTTGAATCCTTTCTAGAACAAGATGGAGGGTCAACAAATAAATCAAAATAATCTGAAATGACAGCATGTTAATACATACCCAAAAGCATAATGGTAGATCTTTTGGGGTCATCTTTGATTTAGAGATGATAATCCCATACTCTCGGTTGAGTTAAAAATCAATAACCTGTCACATTTCATCAGAGTTAATGAAAATTCAGGACCTGCTTCATTCAACCTTCCTAAATACTTTTGTTATTTGCTCTAGAGAATTCCTAAAGGAGTATATATCACTCGTTGTGAAACACAAGTCTGTCAGAATTGAATTAACACCTTTATTGGAGTATAATTGCTTTACAATGTTGTGCTAGTTGCTGCTGTATAACAAAGTGAATCAGCTATACGTATACTTATATCCCCATATCCCCTCCCTCTGGTGCCTCCCTCCCACCCTCCCTATCCCACCCCTCTAGGTGGTCACAAAGCACCGAGCTGATCTCCCTGTGCTATGCAGCTGCTTCCCACTAGCTATCTGTTTTACGTTTGGTAGTGTATATATGTCCATGCCACTCTCTCACTTCGTCCCAGCTTCCCCTTCCCCTTCCCCATATCCTCAAGTCCATTCTCTATGTCTGCGTCTTTATTCCTGTGGCAAAGATCATTTTCTATTTCAGGGAACTATGATTCTAATTACTGCTTTGTTATTTTGCCTGTGGAGATTTTCTTTAATTCAGGAGCCTATTAAAATAGTTATAAATATTAAAGTTCAAAGTGTAAAATCAAAATATTTCTGTATGCTTTATTGTAATCATAAATGCTACTGTGGAGGGTAGTAGAGCTCCCCATCTAACTCCTGCAACGTGCAGTGTCACTCTCCAGTTGATTGTCAAGTCTGCTTTTGGAGACATTTTGAAGACCCTTAAGATGCAATAGATGTTAATTAAAAGCCTGGCTGGTAGATATTCAGTAAATATTCATTGAATGAATAGAGGAATGCATTATTAAACATCAAATCTTCAACAGATGTGAGAATTTTAATTATGTTTAAAAAAACTTTAGGGGTTACACAATTTTGTAGTTTCAAATATTTCCTGGAATGAAATAGTCCTCTCACTGCCCTTAGAAATATATTATCTGGATAAACTTGTGCTGAAAGAATGATCCGATTCCCAGATTTCCAACCCATCGCAGGGGCTCATTGTGATAATCCAAGTCAGGTCAACAGATTTTTACTTTTATTGGTTGTGCATTTCACACGAATATGAGAAACAGTGGGGAGAGTAACAATGCCTTAAAAGCTTTGCTTTAAATTTTCACACCACTCTACCGTATTATTTTGGAAATAGTTAAAGGATTTTTGTAGTACTTCTTCAAGTGTGATTCTCAGACCAGTTGTATCATCATCAACAGTAAATCCTAGGTGCCATCCCAGCTTACCCAAATAGAATACCTGGGGATGGGACACAGAGACCTGTGTTTTTAAGTACCCCAAGCGATTCTTTTATGCTCAGTCAAATCTACTGGGTACATCAAGTTTGAGAAAACCTGACTTCTGGTGGTCAGTTCTGCCACTTGCCAATTAGGTCACCTTGCATAAGTCACTTCCCCTCTATGGACCTCAGTTTAACTCTAACAATGAGGCGTTAAACTGGATGACTCAAGATCCCTTCCAGCCTTGAAATACATTTCACATGCTAACATGTGTCTTTAAACAACTGTCCCTAATGTATTAATAGGGTGTAATAATACCCGCCTAAGTATGCCAGCAGGGTGGAAAGAGCAATTTGGTCTGAATGTGTCTGAGGTTTCATTGCTTTGAAGCTGGGATTTTCTTGTCTGTATGTATTTCCTCATGCCTTTGAAGAACCCATTGACAAGCACTGATTCTAAAAGTGGAAGCGGGCTTTTTCTCTGGTGTTCCTTTAGTGCCCAAACACTCTGCAAAGGGACTATTTTGATAAATGTTTCTTTACATTAAATGCAAATTAGAAAATTTCTTGACTCTGGAACTGAAATATTGTATAGTATTTTAGACTGGAAATTTTATTTTATAGTGATTTTTAGTCCTACTGAAGATAATTTAGTGTGTTCTAAGTCAGAGCTTAGGTTTAGGTTGTAATTTTGGCAGGAAGAAGTTACACACTGAATGGAAGATATAGTCTCTGAAATTTTCATGTGTTACTCAGTACTTTTTATCTGGATATAAAAGCTATAGCGATGGAATTCAATATATTTCCATGTGTTAGTATTAGTATCTATTTAATATATAATAAGCGAGCAGTTTGGAAAGAAACAATATTAATGTTTTACTGACAGCTAATCTTGGTGTGTCCAAACAAAAGGAATATATGGAAGAATATTAAAACCATGTAACATTAGTGTTCAATGAGTTTTTGAAAGGAGGAAACGATTTTAATTCTAGATTTCTAAGTTATATCATTTAGTTGTGCTTCAAAGAATCTACCACTAAAGTAGCAGCTTCATAATACAACAGCGTTGATTATCTTCTTCACCTCTGAAAGCCTCAGCACGTAGCGCATGGTAGGTGCTCAAAATCTTTTAAAATTTTTTCTGAGTTGAATCACAGGGAGTGTAGTGAAGATTGTCTCTCACGAACTACTTTGCAAGAAAAAATTGATAAACAACTAAACGTGCAATTTTCCCTTTTAAAAGCTATTGAAAGTTTTGCATCTTAGTCTAAGCTATGATTTCTTTTTTAAAGAAAGATATTACCCCTTGTATAGGCTAGGTTATGGCTAGATAGTTTGTATTTATACTGCTTCAACAACTGACATATGGTAGTGCTTAATAAATGTCAATGAATAAAGGGGACAAAATTGCATCAGTGAAACTTCTTAGTTATCCACAGTGGGGCTGAAATGGTCAGAAAGCCATGAACGACTTGCCTAATAATTGCAAAAAAGCACAGAGGAGACAAAAGAAGAAAGCTTAGTAAAAAATGGACTTTTCAATAGAAAAAGAAAGAAATGTGATCAAACCTTTCTCTTCTCAACGGAGTCTGCACCTACACACACAGTCACTGCTTTTTAATAGCTTTCCCGTTCAGTTTCAAAAACCATAAACAGTAGTAGGCTTGATACATGCTATAAATGAACCTAGTAGTTTCTGTGCCTTGAATTTTCTCCTCATTTGTAATCTTGCAACTTCGCTAGCTTCAAGGCACAATTTACCTTCTCACCTGTAGTAAGCACAATTCCTTTAAAGCAGGGGTCCCCAACCCCGGGCCGAGGACCGATACTCCGCCTGTTAGGAACCGGGCCGCACAGCAGGAGGTGAGTGGCAGGCGAGCCAGCGAAGCTTCATCTGCCGCCCCGCATCGCTCTCCATCACTTGCATTACCGCCTGAACCCTCCTCCCTCCCCACCCCGCTCCCCGCCCCCATCCGTGGAAAAATTGTCTTCCACGAAACCGGCCCCGGTGCCAAAAAGTTTGGGGACCGCTGCTTTAAAGAATAAGCTCAGAGTGATAAGCAATTGCGGAGAAGATGGATTCTAGCCCTCCAGGGTATATACAACTCTCCTCTATAACATTATTCATAATTGTTCAGGGTACTCTTTAACAATATTTGTTTTGTATATTTCTTGCACATGGTTTCTTTTATGAAAACAATCTCTAAATAATAGAACATTTATGAAAAATAAAGAGACAAGAAGATGTGCTTCTCTGAGAGATGGACTTAAGTCTTCCAGAAGAAGGAGATGATACTGCAGGAAGCATAATACCTGCTCATTTTCAGGTTTGTCAAAGTGGATGAAAGGTGAATGGTGATTCGCTTGAACTGCAGTCTGTATTTTTCCTCAGATCATTCTTAGGAGGTGGGTGATGCCCAATGAGAGTAAGTGGATCAGTCTCTTTCATGGAGGTTATTAAAATTAGTGCATACTTTGGATGTCTATGGTTTATTCTTCCCAGAAGCAAATTAAGGAATATCTATTAAAGAAGAAATAAACTTAGTCTTCTCTGAGGCCTCTTTATTCCTAAAGGTTCTCAAAGAAATGTCAGCTGCATCCTGTCCTTTTCTGCAATGACATTTCAAATGGAGAGAGTGCTGGCAAAAGGCTGATTTCCACTATTCCTTGTGAGTTGTCAGGGGAGAGTGGAGTTTGGACTTCGAAAGAAGTGATCAGGAATGTATATTCCTTTGTGTTTTTGAGTTTCTCCCTTATGTCTCTGTTTTCAAAATTGCAGCCCTTGGGTTTCTTTGAAAAGTCACTCATCCTATCACACACACACACACACACACACACACACACACATACGCACACCATTCCTTTGACCTCTAAGAGATTTTATAAAAGATGAGTTGGGGCTGAGTTGCGGTCTCTGCCAACGAAGGCACAGAGAACATATTTGAAGGAGAACATGTTTTAAATCTGTTTCTTAGAGAGCCTCCAGCCATTGGCACCACCCAGAAGTAGAGAATCAGCCTGGAACAACAGCATTACTTGCAAAGGGTAACTGCTGGCCTAGGAAGGCTTTCAGTCTCCTCCAGTGTCCAAATACTCCTCACACTGCCAGCCCTAAAGCTGTGGAGCCCAATGAGCTCTGTTTCTTTGGCCTAACAAAAAATCAAATTTCCAGCAGAAATGAACACACCATTGTAAAGCAATTATACTCCAGTAAAGATGTTTTTAAAAAAAGAAATAGATGATCTTTGCGGAACTATATTTATGGACAAGAATTTTGCCCCTTAAACAGAATAAAAATTAACTATCTAAAATTGGCCAAAAAAAAAAAAAATCAAATTTTCGAGTGAGGAAGGAGGAAACAGAACCTTTCCCAAACTTTCCATTCCCAGAATGTCCTGGCGACAGGGAGAAAAAATCGCTTCCCAGTGCAAAGGGCAGGCTGGGATTATAAAAGAGCGGTTTTATGACAGTGAAGTGCCAGGTAAGAGAGCTAGAACGTGCCTGAGGCTGGAGAGGAGGGAGAGGAACAGACTAACCGCGCCTCCCTAAGCCGCGTTTCTCAGCACCACGGACAGTACCCACACCCAGCATGGAAATTACTGGCCTGGAAGAGGATGGAAAAGCCCGAAGTCTATCCTTTTACTAAGCAAAAGTAAGGAGGGGTAAAGAGTCTAGAAGGAGTAAGTACAAAGATCAAGAGGCATGACTCTGATGGTAGTCTTCCTCATTACAGACTCTGAATAAATTTTGGCTGAATATTGGAAAGGCAAAGTGGACAAGTGTGATGCGGTCCCCTTGGTGACAACGTCCAGTGTTTCGCACTTTATACAAATGAAACTTGGGTATCGTGTTTTTGTTAGTGGTGCACTCCCACATGATACTATTTGAGATCGGAAGATGTAGCATCTTTCAGTAGCACTGCTCTGGCGACCCCAATTCAAGTGCCAGTTTTTCCATCAAGTTGAACCTACTTGGACAGACTCTTAATCTCCCTGAGTCTCAATTTCCTCCTCTGTAAAATGGGGAAGAGAAATGCCTACCTTATAAGATTGTCACAAAAATCAAACAACATATTTTGTTTATAGATGCCTCTCAACCACTTTCAGTAACATTCTAACAATTTTAAATGTTTATTATGCTGGCATAAAGCACAAATGAACTCCCATAAGAACTGGTTATTATTATTATGGTTGTTTGGGTCCAGCAAAATGATCCCAATTGACCCCATCATTCCAAAGAGATGGATGATTGTGGAGGTGCCCTACATAAAGACTCTTTGGCTTACACTTGAGAAAGGAGTTTGACTAAAGCAGAATTTAAATCTTTCAACACAATCCAGCTGTACATACTATATACTTTAAAGCTGTGAGCAATAAAATAATGAAATGTGCATCAACTTGAAGCTAAAACTATTTCTTGAAAAAGATAACTTTGGAGATTGAGATGGAAATTTCCTGTTTAAAGCTCGCAATAGACCTTCACTCCTTTAATCCCATTTCTGACATTCCCACACCTTTGGGTGCTCTCTTTTTCCTTCTGGACCTATGGCATTACCAGCACTCTTTTAAACCATAACCTCCAAAAGGCCAGCATTCACTCTGCTGCTAATGCCACTCTTTTCTGCTGGGAATATCCTGCTGTGCTCATTCCGTGACATGGCTAATATAAACGAAATTGTCTTGAAAATCATCATTCTCTAGATATGTTGTTTTACTGAGGAACCAACACAAGAAAACCTACCTTCACTTTGCTGCCCAATTTTAAGGTCGCCTTGGGACATGGGAGTTGGCAGGCTTTTTGTCTTTCCAGGGGCAGGAAGTAGAGACCAATTTTTAAAATAATAGTAGTTGGTACTATGGTCAAGCCATCTCCCGCTCTGAACATTTTGCTCCAAAGCCGACCCAAGAAACAGCCAATGTAGAGGGCCAAATGGAAATAACAATTCTTGCAAAATAGAAGAGAATGAATTAGTCCCTCAAAGATGCGGACGTTGTAAGAAAGCATCGTCATAAAAGATGAGAATAAATGTCTCCAAAATCTGCCATCGGCTGTATACTTTGACAGAGGGAAGAAAGAATCAACCAATATACAAAGCTTTAAAACGCAATTTATTACACTTTTCGGGTTTTATTCAACAAGTATTTATTTGCCTGTCTACTTCCTGCTCAGCCCGGGACCAGGCTCATTAAAATGATTACTGCGAGGACAACGCGGAAGCTGGTTTAGCTGGTGTGTTTCCACCTTTGCACCACCCCATTTCCAAACCTCCTTTTCTCTTCCCTCCCAGGAGCTCGCCGAACTAAAAGGGAGCACTTCCCGTGTTTTAGTCCTGGCTCAGATTCAGCTCGGACGGAACCGAAACACATGCTCCATTTTTAAGGGGTTCAAACCCCACCGATCCAAAGATCTAGTTTCTATTTGGTGAAATTAAAGTTGCATCCCCCGACACACAGACCAGGGCCGTGGATTTTAAGCCAGTCCCAGACTCATTCCACCCTGCAGCTTCCAGGACCAGGTTGGCGGCTTGGGGATCGCGAGTAAAGCAGGAAACGAGCACGTGGCTACGCAGCCCTCACCTTCCGCTTTTCCGCCTGCACAGAGAGGCAGGGCAGGTAAGGGTGCCCGAGGCGGAATTGCTTCGAGGAGGAAGCAGGGTGAGAGCGTGGGAAGCGTCCACATGGTTTTAGTTCACAAGGGGAGATAGCACTGAGGGGGGGAAGTGAAAAGAAACTTTCAGATCCGCCCTGGCAATTGACACACGGTTGGGAGGGTGCGGAAACGCGGCACGCAGACTTCAATTAGCCCGCCTACAAGCGGGTTAATTAAAACCATTTCCGGTACCACAGCCCCGGACTCCATCCGTTTTAGCGGAAGATGGGCGGGATGCTGTTGGTCTTAAGTATCCGCGCGTTGAAGTCGGGCAGGACCACGGAGAGCTGCCGCCTCCAGGTCCCTCTGTCCTCCCAGCCCGGGGCAGTCTCCAGTTCCACCCGGGAGGACTGTGGCTCCGGAATCGGCCCTCTCTTGCTCTGCTCTCCCCACCACCAACGGTGACTTCTGGGAGCCTGGAGTCCCGCCTTGAGCTAAGTGCCCTATGAAGGGTCAGAACCAGAGAGCCAAGAAGGGGCGCCCCATGAGTACCGAGGTCTGCAGCGCTGGGAGCTCAGCTTCCGCGCCCGAGAGGCAGCACCCAGGGAGATGACAGAGGGGAAAAGGCGGCCGCAGGACCCAGGAGACGACAGGGTGAAGGTGACCTTGCTTCCCCCCCCCCCCCCCAGGGCTGCTGCCTTGTCAAAGGCTGCCCAAGTCATCAAGGTACCCCTTCCCTTCAAAGTGAGGGAAGGGAGAGAGATATTCTGGAAGCCTCTCCGTGCAGTGGAGCTGAGATTTCCCAGGACGCTGAGCTTTCCCAGGTAAGCTCAGTCCCTCTGTTTTCCCCTCCACACCCCATCCCTCTTAACATGGCTCTTTGTGGGGAGGGGTGGCCAGGTGTGGAATTCCCTCACCCGTATTAGTCTTTCGTCCCAGTGTCCCCATTTCGCCAACCACTGGGTGATTGCCTCACGCCCACCTCCTCTCTTTCCAGATCCCAGGATCCCCAGGTCCTGTAGAAAGAGCTGAGAGGGAGGCCTGGTTACCAGGGCCCAGCTGGGGGTTGAGGTCTGGGGGTGCTTGCCTTTTGTTGGAAGGTGGGAAGAGAACGTGAGATCCTTCTGCTTCAGATTGGCCTTCTCTACTGGTTTCCATTCTAAGTGTAGAGGCAGAGCTCAAGGAGAAAAAGGCTTCCTGTTCATACAAGTCTGAAGAAGCTTTCCACCGATATAACCTTTGTTCAAGGAGCTGGAGCTTTCTTTGTGTATCTGGGGTCGGTGGATGGCAGGAAGCACGGGAAGCATATTTCAGTTCAACTGAGCAGCATCTTCTAAGGTTTTGATCTCTGCGAACCCCAAAAGTACTCAGGGCTGGCCCAGGAGACAGTGGTCAGGGTGGAAGGCTGGACCTATGACCAGGTTGAGCGGGGCGGGGAGAGACAAGGGAGGAGGGAGGAGGGAAGATGCCCACTGGATTTTCTTCCCGTTTGGGTGTCAGAATGGGAATGCAGACACACTCTTGCTTTTAGGGATTTATAATTTAAATTATTGCTACTGGTTGTGGGCATCTAAACTAGGATCAGAAGCAGGAAGTATTTGTGGAAGGGAGTCTAGGACTCTGAAAAGAAAATATTCAGTTAAGCTGTATCTGGGTGGTTCAAGGGGGGTGGAAATCCCAACCATCTGACACCTTCAGGCAAGTGCTAAATGCTCTAAAAAAAACATGAATTGGGCAATGTAAAAAAATACACCAAGGTGATTTCTGTAGCACTTTTTGTATTAATAAATATTTTGAAACAAGCCAAATGTCCATCGATAACAGATTGTTTAGATAAACTATAATCTATATACTGGAGCATTGTGCAGGGGCTCAAAATAAAATGAGGTAAATCTGTAAATACTGACTATCAGGGAAGTCTAGGAGATATGGTTAAGTGAAAAAAAAAGCATGATCACATTTTCATTTTTTTTAAAAAAGGCTGTCAATGGTGTACATGTGTGTACTTAGTTTATAGGTATATTTTTACGATCACAGAGGAAAAAACAGACTCGTGAGCACCAGAATGTTGACAGTGGTTACTTCTGAGGCTGGGATAGGGGGTCAGAGACTGCTCTCATTCTTCACCTTATATAGTGGCTTTAAGAAAAGAAAAAAGATGGTGCAATTAAAGACAAAATTTCAACTTTTTTGGTTGATTTTATTTTCTTTATTTCAATATTTTCTGTAGAAACAAATACCACTGAAATGAGAAAAAACAAGTACATGAAGATGTCAATTACTGATACATCTCTCCCTTTTAGTCCTTGGAAACAAGGATCCGCTGTCTAGAATCCAAACCTGCTCCCAAGGCTAAGGGTGCTTTGTCCCAGCTGGAAATTTACATGAATATGACATTTCTAAGTTCAGTGTCAGCCTATCTTTTTTTTTTTTTTGCAGTATGCGGGCCTCTCACCGTTGTGGCCTCTCCCGTCGCAGAGCACGGGCTCCGGACATGCAGGCCCAGCGGCCATGGCTCACGGGCCCAGCCGCTCCGTGGCATGTGGGATCCTCCCGGACCGGGGCACGAACCCGCGTCCCCCGCATCGGCAGGCGGACCCTCAACCACTGTGCCACCACGGAAGCCCCCAGCCTATCTATTGATGCCTTAAAACAAGAGCTCAGAAATACACAAGTTCGCCCAGAGGCATATCATTGTATTTCCTTGTTCATACTTTCTGAATCAAAACTGAGTAGAGATACCATTTCCTTGGATTGGCTATACTCACTAACTTTGTCTCTTTTTAAAGGTAGTTCCTGGAATTGCCAAGTGCCGCAGCCTCTACTCAAAACTTCGTTCTTGTAAATCTTTCTAAGAAGACAGCAGAACATAGCGACTAAGCAAGGGAGTCAAGTCAGTTTGAAACTTGGGTTTTCCCATCCACTGAATATATGGCCTCAAGCAAATTATTACCACCTTGTGCTTCTGTTTCCTCATCAGTAAGGTGGGAATACGACAGGAAATGCCTCATGGGTAAACCTCTAAAGAGTTTAGGAGAGTGCTAGGTGGCAGCATTAATTATCTGTGGCGCTGCCTAGAAAAATGCTAATCAAGGGGCAATAGAAAACTGTTGGCAGCAACTTGGATTTTTTTTTTTTCTGGATAAAAATACCCAGCATAACCAAGAGGGATGGAGCTAGAGAAATGGGAATTGATTAAGGAGCCTGAAGCTACAGTCTGCCTACTTAGATGCGATAAGATAATGGGTTTTAGAGTCAGACCCACTGGATTCAACTCCTGGCTTTACCATTTACCAGCTATTTACATACGAGCAATTATGTTACCTCTCTGTACCTTTCGTTAATTACAAAATGACAACAATAATAGTGCCCACTTTATACAGTGGCTGTGATAATTGAGGCTAATCATTAAGAAGTGTTAGCTACTATGTTTCTCTTGCCCTCTAAAATCAAAATTGCTTAGACACTCTCAGTGATCCACCCATATCCCTGTGCCCTATCCACTTCAGTGCAGGAAGGCTGACTCCCAGCTGCCAGCTCCTGCATTTCTTTTCCTGAAAGTTTTAACTGGATTCTAAGGCACTTTGCCTGCCCTATGGTAGAACAAAAATGCCTAGAAATTAATAACCCTCCATCAGTCTTCTACCAATGACCAATAAGAGTTGGTAGAGGATTTTTTAAAATGTATATATACACTGGCTCTCAGAGTTTCTTCAGTGAGGTTAAGCTCAGTCGCCCACAGTAAGAGCTGCTCGATAACACTCCCTTTAATGATTACCTTTCCTTCCCCACCTCTCTTTCCTAATTTTCTATCTTCAGTTCCTAAAAACTATTTGCACTAGAATCCTTTTCTCGGGTTCTTCTTCTGGGAGAACCCAAAGTAAGAGAGGAATATAGTGTTTCAGTGATGACTATGGTGGTGCCATGTGATGCTCACATGAGCTTCTATATTTTCTTCCACAATCACCATCCTTAAACCTTATTCTATGATGTAATTGCTCTCGCTTTACTCAGATGTCTTCATTTCTCTTTCTTAAATTTGCTTGGATTCCAAGGAAAATATAAGCTCTCGACAACCGCCACCATCTGGCAACCAAGCATGGACACAGTTTGGACCACTATCACCCTGTTTGTCTGAAATTCATTCCAGAGCTTACAATTTACACTCTCCAAAGTTCTAACATGGGACTCCAGGCAGGCTTCTCAGCTGCACTGAGAATAAATACAATTATTGTCCCTGGCACGCAGGAATCTGTCATGTAGGCAGACCCCTATCTTTCCTAATATTAAGGCTGGAAATGTGAACGTGGATTTAGGCCAATGTATATGTACTGCACAAACTCTAACCCCAGACGTACAGATAAAGGGAAATTGAACTCTCTTGTTCATGAGTTCCTGGGAAGGAAAAATTCCACATAGTAGAGTTCGTAGCCTGTAGTCAGACAGGCTGAGATTTCATCCTGGCTCTTTCACAACCAGCTGTGTAAGCTTGAGAAATTTATTTAATCTTGCTAAACTTTGGTTTTCCTCATTTGCAAATTGAGGATAATCATACATACATACATAGCTCACAGGGTTTTTTTTAGCAATTAAATATGCTAATACCTATTAAGTACTTAACACAATGGCATATGGTGTCTAAGAAATGTTAGCCCTCGTTTTAACTATTAATAATAATAACAACATCTTGTAGAGGAACCATAAAGGACCGTATAGTATACAATACATTTACAGAATCTGGACACGGGAAGGAGACCATAGACATCCGGCAGTACAGCATTCCTCTGAGATAAAGGGAGGTAACACTCTACAGCACACATATTTGGCTTCAGCAAGCAAATGTAGTCATTTGTTCAGCACGTGTTAGATATGATTGTTGGCGCTGGTGTTGCTGTTGGAACTACAAGCGAAAGGTAGAGCTAGTTGATGGAAGGTATTAAGGCTACAGGCCAGTGCAGAGCCTATTCATTTTCACCCAGCAAGTAGCCATAGGTAACACCTAGCACCAGCTGAAAAAAGGAGACCATCTCTCTTCTCCAGGCCAAGAATGTGGGCAGGGACCTAGCTACCTTGGAAGGGGAGGCAGGGCTCTCTGGGTGCAGCTTGCCAGAGGGAAGAGTGGGTTTCATTAGTGTGGCACTGAGTTGGAAGTACATAGGAACAGAGAAGGAGCATGGCTTCTGCCTCGACACTCTTACCGGGTAGAAATCTTGATTGGCCGGTTGATCATTTCCCAGGATAGAATGAGTATCCATGATACGCAGGTCCCATTGCTGCTGGTGGAACACACACTGGCATCTGCCCTAGTAATTTCTGCCCCTTATCTCCAAAGGCCCACATTTGAGGCCCTATTCAGAGTGAACTGCTGGAATTCTTTCAGAAATTTTAACCCAAATAGAGCTGCACTGCCTTATGGCCTATCTTATCACAGTATTGCTTTCTAAAGAAACATCATACTGGTGATAAAGAAGCACTGTTGAGCAATTTAATTCCTTACTGGAATCTTTGGAAAGGGCATCTAAAGGAAACTATTTCTTTCCTTACAACAAAATACCCTGATACTCCACAAACTTCTCTCCTTTCTCTCTCCTGTACTTAATATCTCTCAAACACACACCCCGTGAAACTTTTCTTTCTCTCTCTCGTATTTACCTTCCTATCTCCTTCCAAATTTCTGGCTCTAAAGATAACATAGTATCATGGTTCAAAGCATAATCTCTGGAATCAGACTGACTAGCTTTGAACCCTAGCACTGCCATTGTTTGTTTTTGGCCTTGGACAAGTTGCCTAATTACATTATTTGACATATATTGACTTTTACCTT